CCCATTGTTTTAACTTTTCACATGCTTCACTAGCCTTGCAGCCTGAAGCATTTCACCAGAGAGGCATTTTGAAGTAGGTCTTATCAGGGATCTTTAGCTTTTCAGCAGTGAAGGTTAGGAGCAACTGATAACAAGGTGATAGATTCTTTTCTCAGTCCACCTTGGGAAACAGCTTAAGATTCATCTGTGAGACTGGAGGCGAGGGCAGTACGCCTCTTGCAGGAGTGCCATCCCTCACCGTGGAAAAGGAGATTCAAACCATGGCTGTCTCTCCCCCTAAGGAAATGGAGCAGCTGGAGACAGACCCGGAAAAAGTAGAGAGGGGAATAGAAAAGTTGGCAGTTAGAAAAACCGGGGAAGAACGGCGGGAATAGAGCGGAAGCCGAGGGTGGAGAGAGAGGCGGTAGCAGCAGATATAAGGAAGAGAGAGTGAGTCTGGATGGAGGACCCCTGGACCGGAGGGTGGGAGAGACTAAGGGTCCCCAGGGAGGAGGCAGGCTACCGGAGGAGGAGGGAAATACCACCACAACCCTCGTATTGGGGAGAGGCTGAATCTCAGGAGTGGAGGAGGAGGTTGAGAGAGGAGAAGGAGAAAGTAGAAAGAGAAAGAAGAGAAAGGCTCGAATGGAGGGTGAGAGAAATGAGGATGAGGGGATACCAGGGGGACCCTGGCAGACGTTCACACCCATCCGGGACCCCTTGTGGGTGGACCACCGGGATGACAACACTGTCCCCCTGTTGGAGGGCAAGGCAGGATCGATGCTAAACCCGCACCTATCTTTGGACTGGCTGGGACCGTGAAGGAAACCCGTTTATGAATGAAGACAGGAAGCCCGTTGCTGACCCATTGTTGGAAGGAGATAAACTTTGGACTCCGTTTGCAGACACTGGTTATTTGTTAAATACATCAATTAAATGTTACACCTGTTTCAAAGTTACCGGTATATAAATCGGCTGATTTATTTGAACAAAGAGAGGAGCCAGACGTTGAACCCTTACATCATCAGCTCACTCATTTGGGATGCAAATTGTACTTCTTATAGTACAAGAACTTCATTATTAAACAACAACAACAACAGCAAGAAGTGTAGAGGGTTCAGAAAGGAGAAAGTGTTAATGGAGTCTTCATGCTGTGGCATTTTGAATTATTTTAATGTATTTTACATACACTCTAAAATGATCACTAGCTGACATTTCTGTGTCAAAGAGGATTAATGGGGGGATTTCAATTAAGCCATTTATACAGCCATCAGTTGTCACCGCTCTTCACTTGGCACATTCTAATGTTTCTCCATTAAGGAGAAGGTCAGTTGCATCCCGGGGGCCATGCTAAAGGCTGGGACCTGCAGTTGACAAGGCCACTTGTAACAGGTTCCTGTTGTTCCCTCCTGTACAGTACATATCTTTTGATTGTACAGCTGTACAACACAACAGAGTTGATATCATCATCAGTAGCAAATCGCTGCAGATTAAAGGCAATTTCAGGGTGCACACAACTTGTAAAAATTTTACAAAGTTACATGTACTCCAAAACTACCAAAAGAATTCTTTAATCAGCAGTCATTTGTGATGATGACGACATCATCACCACTGCACATGCTGCACAATAAGAGTTTAGCCTCTGATTTTATTTCCTCTTTGGTCAGAAAAATATAGTGTTTTGCTGTACATGCATTAAAAGTCTCTGATGAGGTTGTTTCAAGATAGTTGTAATTATGCAGTAAACTTGATGTCCTGCTGATGAGAAGTGCTGCTACTAGATATTTCTGGGATGTAACAAGATAGTGTAGTTGGCATATCCTTAGATACAGAGCAACCTTAAGCAAAATATGTCTACTTGTCTCACTCCTATCTATAGCAAATTAGTTTGCTTTTGTTTTATGACTGGAAAGTAACCACAGGCTTCATTTGCAAGTTTGCTCAGCCATGAAGCTTTGAAGGAACTGTGTGGTTAGAGGGAAAATGTTATAATTGCAGGAAACATTATTTCACCTTAGATTGTGGACTTGATTATCTTATCCAGGTGTGAGGAAGGGTGAGTTTAGACAGCTGGTGGTGTCAGTGGTGAAGGATGCAACTTATAGCTCTGCTTGCCCCTTGCTCCCCCATGCGGCTTCTACATTTTTGATATCTTAACAACCCACCCATCCCCCAACAATTCGCTAATCTTGTTTAAAAGAATACATTTTCTAAGCATTGTGTTGTAGAAAAGCAAACATAATGAGAATCTGTAACCGTGTATATGCCTATTCAGCAGACTATAACCTGTTTTTTCTAAAGAATAAGAGGATGCTGCATCACCAGCAGCAATCTTAATGGGGCTTCAGTATGCCTGTGCCTGTCAAGGGGCTAAGCTGTTCCTTTTTGTTGCCAAGACACACACTGTGTGGAGCTATGGTTATAATGCTGTGGATCATGCTTTTTGGTGGTGTCTTAATTTTATTTTATTGCATCTCCGGATACCTGCACTCTTGTTGGACCAGAAGCCTGTCCTCAAATATTCTGGCATTCCTAAAACCATTTTATTTATGTTTAACTTTGAAACTTATATTCTCCTTTACTGTTTATTTCCACATTTTACAGCCACAAAAAGCAGAATCTTCATTATGACACTGTAGATGCAGTTCTTCATTCCCACGTCAAGATCTGCATTTTAGAACAAGGATTTCTTTTAGTATCTTAATGTTATTGTTCTGTGTGCAGACATATTTTCTATAATGAACATATTTTCTATTTTATAAAGGGAACATTTTATTCTGTGTTTTATTTCTGTTTTTAATATTATTCTTATAATGACTTTTAATATATTTGGTTGTTGTAGGTTTTTCGGGCTGCCTGGCCGTGTTCCTGAGATTTTTCTTCCTAACATTTTGACAGTCTCTGTGGCCGGCATCTTCAGAGGACACGAGTTAGACCTCTGTGCTCTGAGTCCTGTCCTCTGAAGATGCTGGCCAAAGAGATTGGTGAAATGTTAGGAAGAAAAACCTTAAGAACATGGCCAAGCAGCCCCAAAAACCTTACAACAACTATCGGATCCCTGCTGTGAAAGCCTTTGAGAATACTTTTAATATATTTATTTAATGCTTTTTAAATGATGTAATATTATTTGGCATTTAACTTCGTTCATTTAATACTGTAAGCTGCTTTAGATCCTTTAGGAGAAAGATGGCAAATAAGTACGTACGTATGTACGTACGTATACATACATACATACATACATACATACATACATACATACATACATACATACATACATACATACATACATACATACATACATACATACATACATACATACATACATACACTATGCAAAACATATTCTGCTGAAGATCTATTGGACTTTCTTAAATTTCTTAGGATTTTCCCAGGAAAAAGCCAAGGAATAGACACCCTTATTCTAGTTAAGATGGGAAGTTTCTTTCACAGGGTCAGATCCTTGGTCCGTCTAGCTCAATATTGTCTATAATCAGCAGTTCCCAACCTTGGACCCCCAGATGTTCTTGTACTAAAACTCTCAGAAGTTTTAGTACACCATTAGCCGTGCTTGCCTGGATTTTGGGAGTTATAGTCCAAGAACATCTGGGGACCCAAGGTTGGGAAGCACTGGTATGGACCCATAAATGTCCTTCTGGGTTTCATACAGGACCCTTTAACAACCCTACTTGAAAAATGCCAGGGGCTCAATCTGAGATGTTTGCTTGTAAAACATCAACTCTTCCCCAGATCAAATGGAAATTGATCTGATATAATGGCCATGCCTGAAGGAGCTATGTGCAGGTGTTAACTGCACTGGTGTTTACAGAGGCAACATTGATGGGTTCTGGCCCTGATATGTCATAAATGCTAGGAATACAGTAAAGTTAAAGGCAGTATTTCCTTTATTCTAGTTCCATTTTCAAAAAGAAAGAAATCACAACCATTTGGAAGAATAGTTCAGTTCATGAATGGTTCAGTTCAAGAATGGTTCAGTTCAAGAATGGTTCAGTTCATGAACAAGTGCTTTTGAACAGTATATAGTACAGTAAATGTATTGTTTGCAGCCTGCTCCCTTACAAGTGCAAATCGGGAGTAATGCTTGGAAAAGTCATACTGAACTATGACTACAATATAGTCTGACGTATGGACATCAGAGTATATTGAACAGTATTTTCATCAACAGAAACTGATGGCTAGAAAATGATTTTAAAATTGTCTACCAATGTACATATTGGAAAACTGTCTCCAAGGAAAGCATACATGTCAACATCTGCAGGCAAATATATAAACAAACAATCTCTTGTTCTGTTTAAGTGATGAGTTTGTTGTTCAGTGCTAGGGAGCTGAGTGTTAGCCACTGAGGTTCTGTGGTAAGGGAAGCCTGAGCTTAGCTAGAGATCTCCTGTGCTCCACGACAGAAATGGCTGAGCATCCATACCCTTGTGTTCTTTTTAGAAACTGAGAGATAAGATACAACAAGCAGTTCTACAGCTTGCAAGCATATGGCTTGGGTACATGTGCCCTTCAAAGAGAGACATGAGCTTTTCTGCAGCACAGTGTCTTCCTTGGGTGCTGCTCTGTATTTATAAACCACTTAAAGAATAACCTAAGAAAAGCCCACGTAGGAATTGCAGTGCATTTTCAATTTAAAACATATGTGATTGACGCATAGAGTGGCTATGTGGTGAAGGAGGTATTTATTTCTTCCAGATCAACCACTTCAAATCCAAGGCACTGTACAAATCATGCACATGTTCCTGAGAACTGCTGATGACATTTGAAAGAGATTTCCTTCCGTCTTGTACTTTATATACCTTTTCGGAGCCCATAGTCCATTAATTCGTGGGACTTAGGCTGTGAGCACACTGGCAATTGAAATCAATTTGTATTCCAACTTGTTTTAAAGCAGCTCCGAGTCACATTAGTGGCCATGTTCACATGCACTGAGTAGAAATCAATTTATTTCTGGTTATTTATACTGGTTTTGGTGTCCATTTGCTGAAATTGACACATTTGCTTTCTTTTTTTTTTTTTAGGAGCGTGCTGTTCTTAAAGGTTTTGATTTTTTTAAATTGTAAGTGATAAATTTAGTGTCTGGGAGATGCTACCTGGTATCATAATAGGCACTAGAAACCACAAGGGAAACACTGGAGAGGTGACCCCAGCCAATTAATAATAAAAAATGAGAAGGGGGGAGGTTTCCTCTGTGGGCCATGCTCCTGGTGCGTCCTCCATGTCCAGGTGCACCCATTTTGCACCCACTGGTTTTCTGCTGCTCCGCTGGCTCCATTATTGGTCAAATGGAGAGAATAGGGTATGTGGTTGTAATGCCAAAAATATTGCTGAAGGGATGCAGTAATAAATATTTTAAGAAAGAATTTTAAAATATTTAAAAAGAAAAAACAGTGCTGTCCATGCCACCCAAATCTACTAAGGCACAAATTAAAACAACAGAAGTGTTCACATCCATAAAACTGCATTGAACTGAATGGACTTTAGAAGCAAGGTAAAAGTCCCTGCTGGCCAGATGAAAAAAATTCACTTTGCAGCCCATATAAATCAATGTCTCCCTTGTGTCATGTGAACAATAAAAATCTAAATTGATAAATACAGTTCATATTGTCAGTGAGACCACAGCCTTACATATCTTATGACAGATCAAGTCCCATTCATTCAATCGATCTACTCTAGTTGGGTGATAACTGGATTAATACCTTTTAACAAATGCTTAACAAACACCTAAGACCAATGTCCACAATTATCTTGGAATTCTATGTCAGGAATTCTATGTTGTCAACCAGCTTTTTTTTTCCATGGATGCGTCCTTCATTCTCTTAGCCTGCCCTGACTCATCTGCTAAGCCATAGCCAGAGTCTAATTACAGCACCCTTCACTGCAGTTTTACAACTGCATCTCCCAGAACATTCTTTTCCTCAGACACTTTATTTCCCTCTATTCAATTACCTTGCTGCCAATAGAGCTTCTGTGTACATACAAAAGCCCTGTGCAACCATCTCCCCCCACACTCCTGAAGCCAACTAGATACCACCTCTGTCTTCCCCCAACTCCATATCACATCCTAGGTCTCATCTAGGTCATCCTACATCCATCTGCAAATTTAACTGGATGTTGCAGAAGGCCAACAGTTGCACCAGTGCATATGGCTGTTGAATTATCCTTGAGTGGTGACATATTATCCTTAAGAATTATGTACAAGGAGAAAAATTCTACTAAGAATTACTGTATGTACAAAGGTGAAAATTAAGAAATGGGCATTTTCATATCTATTTTGTGTGCAACAATCCCTCTATGGGCCAAAACCTGGCCATGTAAATCCCAAATCCTAACCAATATCTCTATGCCTGAGTTTTCTGTCCGCATCTTAGGAACAAAGGCACATGTGATTTCAACTGGCTGCCTTGTTCCAAATGTTCATTCCTTGATACGGTCCTTGCCAATTACCATAAATGCTAAAGGACAGTTATAGATTTTGTCTAAGTTACCACTGTGAACATACAAAGCTATACAGAACAACGTACTGAACTTATGAAAACCACTTCCATACTAAGTTTATTCAGCTCAGTAGTGCCTGCTGTGGCTGGCCAAAGATGTTATTAGCTTCTGTGGCATGTCTGTCTAGACTGACTTAATTGTGAAAGCAAAATTCCTTCATGTTTGTTCAGACTATACTTGGTTTGAAAATTCACTCATCATTTAAGGGGAAGGTGTCTAGGAACTCCGAAGTTTCAAAGGCTTTGAAGAAACATCTGTTATCTCCACATAAGTGGGTAGAAGAGTAACATCTATGGAGATGAGACGGGCAGCAGGATGACAGTGTGGGGTGAACTTGATGGTTTGGTCAGTCACTTCCTACTGCTTTTTCAACAGTATTTCATTGGCAAAGAGTTGCTGACTGGAAAACATAAAATTACTTTCCTTGTTAGATAGCCTGCTCCTAGCTTTTATCAAATGCCTCAGTAAGATGACAGAAGGCATAAATGAGAGCGCAATGTGGCTCCTAAATATGTAGGCATATGTATTATACTTGAATTAGTGCAGGGTGAAGTCGATGTGGGGATTGGTTTGCACATGTAAGCCTTGCCTTTACATCCCTACCCTGTTTGGGAATCTCTCACCCCTTTGCAGGTTTTAGCACATGAATCTGCAAAGGAGGCCATAATCCTGATCGTGTGATGGGAAGCCCTGCCTTCTTAGGTCATGTGGTTATGGAATTACTGTACAGTACGTGCATTCGGGGAACTTGCTTGCAGATTCTTTACGAGGTGTTTGTGCTGACTTCCAAGTGGGGTAGGGAGGTATGGAGTTGGGCCACATCCATATTACCTATTTAGACCTACACAGATTCATTTCAGACATAAAAAATCTGAATAGGACTAATGAAAATCAATTGTTGTTACTTTGATGGTAACTCACACTACATACAAATATTTCGACAACAACTTGCTTAAAAAGTACAAATTTCCCCCCAGAGGTCTCCATAGGGTGACAGGAAACAGTTAAAAAAACACACCTCCACATATAAAAATCTACAAAAGAGAATAATTACAGCAGCCATTTTTTGGTATAAGAATATATTATTTAGAAGATAACTTTAAAAATAAAAATAAAATATAGTACAACAGTAGTGGTTCCTTGTCATTTCAGTCCAGAAGTAAACACCAGTCTTTAGACAAGGAATCTGAAAAGCGCTTGTCATGGTGTCAGCTGTTCAGCCTCATCTTTTGTCAGTGCTGTGCAATCCCACCAGATTTGGCAAATCTCAAAAGTATCTTTGTGTCTGTTGTAATGCTGGAATTAAAATGCAAAATATTCATTCATTCATTCATTTAATTTATATACTGCCCATCTGGCTGCCAAGGCCCCTCTGGGTGATCTACAACAAAATAAAGCACTAAAGCCAACATAAAATAACACACACATAAACATCACAATAATATGAACATGAAAATAGACATACTGTATATGAATCAATTAAACTTAGAGAAAGGGGGGAAAATGCAACATAGGAAACAGGTCATTAGACCCAGAGAATGAGGTTTCATGCACCCAGAGATTTTTGGCAAAGGTTCAATGTGCTAATTCAGCAGGCCTGTAAGCCGCCTCCCCTGACAGCAAATGTGCTAATCCCTGTATAAATCAACACAACAAACCAGAAAATCTGTGAAACTGGGGCAGGTACAAACACAGCTGAATGCACTCCATATTATAGTGTAACATGTTGTCCCTTGTCTTTGCATATGCTGTTCAAAGCGCTGCTGATGTATCTATGAAGCACTATGCAGGGAAATTCCTCCTGTACACAACAACGCTGCAGAGGATGGAAGGTGAACCATTTTATCAGGTGAGGTTAGGCTTGCCTTCCATCTCATGAAAAGTATTCTGTGGAGCTTTGAATTCTGCATGAGCTCACTGGCAAAAGCCTCACTGATTGAATTTAATGGATACCACTCACCATGAGGACCGAAGCTTGGAAAAGTTACATTTTTGTCTATGCTGCCCGAGGGACTCTGGGAGATGACTAAAAAAGTAACTCCAGTTTCTGATCAGGAGATGTTGCCTCTGGAAGTGGGCTTGCTGAGATTTGGAACTTTTAAAGAGAGTTATTTTACTGGATGTCTCATGAGGAATACTGAGTTTAAGCCAAAGAGAGTCATGCTCAAGAACCTTTGAAATAAATCACTAAATGCTCAGGCCAGAATTCAGCAGTGTAGCTCAGTATTTAATGTAAGCAGAGTTAGGGGCTTCCTGTTCCTGCTGTTACTGTTTTGCAGCACCCAGAATATACTGCAGAGGGTTTCCTAGTCCTTCAGTGGAGGGCTACAGGAGCAAACAGGGATCTCTGATGCTGGAGAAGCAGCAGAATCCACCTGAAGTACACACCACTGGATTCTGATTACAGCCCCACGGATTACCATAAAACTTCAGAATGTCTGAATGTCACTGAATTGTGGCTTTTATTACAGAATATTTCAGACAAGTATTCATAATTGATGGTATACTAAAAAAATAGTTCTGTAGCATTTTTGACAAATATTACTGAATGCATTGCAATGAAATCAGTTGGATGTTATCTTTTCTGTGACACTTGGTATATTTAACATATCATGTGCAATAAGGTAAATTTCTATCTTTAATATTTTAAATATCTGAGTGCAAAATATCTCTTCTTCAGACAATTTCCCGTGGTTTCAGAAATGTCCTGTGATCCCTTAAAAATGAAATGTATCTTACCTTGATGTGTCTTGTATTTTCTGTTCACTTCTCCTTATTTCCATTTGTTAAACTTTCATTCTTCTTCTTCTGTAACTAATTGAGAGTGGAATGGAACAAATGATTGCCTGACAGATGTGTGCCATCTGATTTATCAACATGGCAGCCACTGAACATGGGCCACAACCCACTAAAAATGAACATTTCATGAGATCCATTCACTCCAATTGAGTATGTAGCCCCAGTGCTTGCTAGACTACAGCCATTACAGTATATTTCTCTCCATAAGTAAAAACTAGCATGCTTTATCTGACAAAAGCTTCTGTGGATTGTAGCTTATTTGTACAGATAGGCACAAATTGCTGGATCGGTGGTACAGAGTGGTTAATTTTCTGGCCAAACAGCTGATCCACAGTTTGATGCCTTCTGACCAAACAGCTGATCCACAGTTTGATGCCTCACCTCCTCCAGTGGGCACCCAGAGGAGGCAGGGCAGGAGACTGCCACCAAGTGAGCGCCTGCTGGAGGAGGCAAGGTGCTGAACACTGAATCAACTGTTTGGCTGGGAAACAACTGTTTAGCTCCATCTCTAGTTATTTCTTCAAATTCCATTATGTTTGTTACTACGGACTAACACAGCTATTCCTGTAAGAATATCCATAATTATGGGATGGTGATAGAAAATACACCAAACAAGTATACCGATGCTTAGTGTTCCTTTACTACTATTTTGTATAACCCAATGATCTCACAATTCAGGATGGGAAAAAGCATTTGTTACAGTGTCTCTGGTATATTATTGGATGACTAGTATATGTGAGCTGGGACAAGCAACAGGACCTCACTCCGTCACGTGGATTCAATCTTACAACTGCTGGTCATCGGGACGTGGTGGCGCTGCAGGTTAAACCGCAGAAGCCTCTGAGCTGCAAGGTCAGAAGACCAGCAGTCATAAGATCGAATCCACGTGATGGAGTGAGCTCCCATCACTTGTCCCAGCTCCTGCCAACCTAGCAGTTCAAAAGCGTGTAAAATGTTAGTGGATAAATAGGTACCACCATGGTGGGAAGGTAACGGCATTCTGTGTGTAGTTGCACTGGCCACGTGACCACGGAAACAGTCTACGGACAAACGCTGGCTCTATGGCTTGGAGAAGGGATGAGCACCACACCCTAGAGTCAGACATGACTGGACTAAATGTCAAGGGGAGCCTTTACCTTTACCTATATATGTTCATGCATGTACCTATGCTTGTACATTACAGAACAATAGATCCTTCATTGATTGTGATGTTTAGGACACAAATTTTCATGTGGAAAATAAACGCTTCACCACCTGGTGTGAACAAAGGTCCGGATGAATATGAAGTGGAATTTGAGGAAATACCGTGCAACAAAATGGAATCTATGTGTTTTTCACATTCCCTGCATCCCTCCAAAAAGCATTGCACTGTATGTGTTTTTCATATTCCCTGCATCCCTCCAAAAAGCATTGCAGTGTTACATGAACATGACTTCAGAATCATTTTCCTAGTAGAGAAATCATGAAGCCTGTTTCCTCAAGCACAGATGTGATTATATGCACTATTCTCATAGCTTCGTGTGTGTGTGTGTGTGTGTGTGTGTGTGTGTGTGTGTGTGTGTAAAAAAAGCAGCAACAATTTCCATTGGTCTGCAGCAGGCTAATAAAAAACATTTTTGCCTTCTTTTAAGTGTGCTGCCAGGGAAGGTTTGGACCATTGTGTTCTGTATCTTCCCGCCCACGCACTTTCTGCAGTGGATGTGGAGGAAAAGACTGGCCTTTCTCTGTAGCTAATAAGGAAATGCAGCTGGCTTGTAGGGAAGAAAGGCTTGTTGTCTCTCCTCCACCCATTTGCTTGGTTTCTATGCTGGCTGCAGAGGAAGGGGGCTGTTCCGCTTCCGTCGTCACAGACGTCGTCCTCTACTCTCTTTCTCTACTACCCCATGTATTCACCCAAATGGAAGTGCCATTACACTTGTCTGCATGGAATGCCTTATTGTGTACAGTGACCAGGTGGGTAGTTAAAACAGAAGGTTAAGTTTTGTATGACTCAGATGTAAATCCACTGCCCTTTTTTCTAATGCATTCAAAAACAAAACTAGCTATACACTCTACTTAGCAGCAAGGCCAATGCACTAGATCAGTCGTGTGGAGACTTTGGCTCTCTAAATGTAGCTTACAACTCCCACGACCCTTTACCACTGATAATAATGCCTGGGGATGATGGGAATTTAGGCCAAAGTCTCCCCAGCATGATCGTTCCAAAATCTTCTTTGCACTTATAATTTACGGCTGCATTTTTATGCATGTCTATTTGGAAATAAATCCCACAGAACACACTACAACTTACATTTGAATAAAAACATGCCTGCAGCCTCATTGGTCATCAGAGAATCTCAGGTTTTAATAAGCTTTCTTGGCTTTATGCTACTTCAGCCTGAAACTTACAATGAAGCATCAACAGCCACTTATAATGGTTTTTAATCTACAGGGAGGGGTGGTGAGCATATTCCTCTAAGGTTTCTTTTCTTATTTCACAGCATGAAACACAGTTCTTAGGAACCATAATTTATCATTTAATATATCCCCAAGGGTGAAAAGGCCAGAGACCTTGTTGACATTAACTACGGTTTCCCACACATGTCAGTACACAGCAACAAAAATAATTCTTTTGGCATATCTTGGTGTGATTAAATTACATCTTTTATGTCCAAATATCAGACATCCACATTTTTCTCAGTAGCAATCCAGAGCCTGGAAAAAAGGGTTTTCTTGTTTACAGAAAACTCATTTACACTACAGCTTATACAAACTATAATTTAAAAAAAGCAACATTTTCCATGTCAGTGTGCATGTACGCGTGTGTGGCATGTTGCTCCTGCTGCTACAAGTAGCAGTGGCAACAGCAACAATAGCAACAATGTGACAGCCTGGCCACCATTTTCAAATTTCTCACAATGCCCCAAATTCAGCACTGTTTCAGGGGATTTTGAGGAGTGGGTGGGATGGTAGCTACCATAGCACAATTTGAGGGAAATTTTGCAGTGTCTTTTTTCTTGGGTGTTTTTTTGTGTGTGCATGTGTGGAGAGGTAACAAGATAAATCTAAATCAAAACATTTCTCAGAAAACTTTTTCCTGACATTCCGAGAAATTTTGGCTCAGTTCGTGAAGTGCAAGGCAACCTGGAAGGCCTCACAGAAGACCATGACAGATTTCATGAAAACCAGACAAGGAGATGCAGAAAGGAAGCCATCTTACCTCTTTTATCATAGCATCCTCTATTTGCTTCAGCTCCTCATAGCGGTCCCTGGATTCCCAAAGCGGTTGGAGCATGACTTCTTCAACTTCTGGAAAAAGCTAAAATAATGCAAGAATGATCAATAGAACTTCATCAAAAAGCTGTCAATAATTTGAAAATTCATTATGGTGGGAGCTTTTTGGAGTGTATGGGGGTGTGTTCACTAAACTAAGAAAGAGTATTTGTGCCCAAAATTCTAACTGACATTTTGGAATGCTAGTAACTTATTAAGGCTGCTGCTTCAGGTGCCAAAAAACTGCTTGAATTTTATTCATTCAATTAAACAATATCAATGCCTGTGTTAAGTTCAGCCATGGTTCTGGAAGAAAAAAAACATTTTGGGGGCTAAAACCAACTGGTAGCCCCAGCTAGAGTAGACCCATTGGTCAAAAGCCTGTTCATTCCTTCTACTCAAGTAATGGTCCCTTGAATGAGCAGCTGGATGGTTTCCAAACTTTCATATGGTGGTATTATTGGATGCCTCCTTGCCCAAGCTCAGAAACTGTCCATCACTTGTGCAACTGAATGTCGGAGAAGCAGAAGGAAGGTATAAAATTCTGCTCAGTAAATCAATAGGATTTACAATAGTGTTGGGTTCGTTCGTTCGTTTAGTCATTTAGTCATGTCCGACTCTTCGTGACCCCATGGACCAGAGCACGCCAGGCCCTCCTATCTTCCACTGCCTCCTGGAGTTGGGTCAGATTCATGTTGGTTGCTTCGGTGTTGCGTTACCAAGTCTTATTTATTTCACAGGTTGATCTAGCTGTGTTTACTAATTATTGCATGGACCATCTTAGAGCAGGTATTCACTCCTGTTTGCAGAATAAGATGGGTAGTGTGTGCCATCTCCATTTTATAATTTCTTATGCTAAGAATAATTAATTTTTTTTAAAAAATATGTGCTGTCCAGTCAGTGGCAGGCAACTTTCTGTTTGATCAAAAGGTGTGATCAAGGTGTCATCATATCAGGGCCCAAGTAACTGATCTAACATTACCTTTGTTACAATCTGAAACATGGGAATAAGAACAAATTTCAGGAAGCCGATTTGTGCTGTAGGTTTGGTCACTTTGTCTCGGTCCATAAAAGGTGCCACTGGAAGGCCTTCAGACTTTTCCCGATCACTCTAGGAAAGATACAATGGTGTGTCACAACATTTTAAATGAGTTAGTTAATTAATTCATGAGTTCTATAGTTCTATTTATTATCAAATATAAATAATGTATTTATTATAATTTTTATAAACTACTCTTTGGCCTAAAACAATGCCTACAAGATGGTGCTCTCTCTCTCTCTCTCTCTCACACACACACACACACACACACACACAGAGAGAGAGAGAGAGAGAGAGAGAGAGAGAGAATACTATATATAAAATAAAGGAATTATAAACAATGAAACCCATTAACCTAACAATAAAACTTCAAAATGAACCCCACATTAAAAACAGTTAAAAGTGATGGCATAACACATGTTATACTCCAAAAACCACAAAGTACAGGCAAGGATTTTGGCAGTGCAACATAATTTTGCTCTAGCAATAACAAGGAACGCTAAATTTTGTAGCCCACATTGTACAAGTTTGCCTGTTTTATGCAATCTGCTTCAGCTAACAACAGAACAGGAGAGCTCCGTTTTTCTCTTCCAAAACATGCCTGTCTGCTTCAGAGTCACAACAGGATGATTTCTAGATCCTGCCTTTTCCTGAGCTTCACTGTCATTTTTCTGAAATTAAATGCTGCACCTTCTCTTTCTGCTTATTAATCTTAAATCCAAAAATTACCATGACCCCCTAATGATCTACCTTCATACAGTATCCTCACATTCTCCAGTTGTTATTTGCCATCTAGATGGAACCGATTTACAGGGATCCTAACAGGGTTTTCAAGGTTAAGTGAGATATTCCACATCCCCAGTGAGTTTTCATGGCAAGCTTTCACAGGTTTTCATGAACCCAGGCCTCCTGAGTCCTAGGTCCATCACACTGGCTATCTACCCTGCCCTGGGTCACCTCCTATTTCTTCCACTTTCCATTAAAAAAAAAAGCCCCAGCTTCCTTTTGGGAAAATGTGGCATTGTCAAAAGAAAACATTTCCTGGACAGGTGTTATTTTTTAGCAGCTGACTTGCAGCAGCACAAAACTCACAGGGTGACCCTGGCCTAGTGACATTTTCTCATCCTAACCTACCTCACAGGGGTGTTTGTCAAGATAAAAGATGGGAGGGAAGAGCCAGGGACACCAATGGGAAATCCTCTTAGGAGGGGAGGGGAGATATAATTGCAGCTAACAAATAAATAATAATAATAAAAATGGCTGCCAACACATGCAGCCCCTTTCTAGCCCTTGACCATTTACAAGCAAATCCAACTCCCTTGGCTTCTTGCACTATTTTTGTTATTGTTTAGTCATTTAGTCGTGTCCGACTCTTCGTGACCCCATGGACCAGAGCATGCCAGGCCCTCCTGTCTTCCACTGCCTCCTGGAGTTGGGTCAAATTCATGTTGGTTGCTTCAATGACACTGTCCAACCATCTCATCCTCTGTTGTCCCCTTCTCCTCTTGCTTTCACACTTTCCCAACATTAGCATCTTTTCCAGGGAGTCTTCTCTTCTCATGAGATGCCCAAAGTACTGGAGCCTCAGCTTCAGGATCTGTCCTTCTAGTGAGCACTCAGGGTTGATTTCCTTTAAAATGGATAGGTTTGTTCTCCTTGCAGTCCAGGGGACTCTCAAAAGCCTCCTCCAGCATGACAATTGAAAAGCATCAATTATTCGGCAGTCAGCTTTTGACAATTCAAAAGCATCAATTATTCGGCAGTCAGCTTTCATTATGGTCCAGCTCTCACTTCCGTACATCACTACAGGGAAAACCACAGCTTTGACTATTCGGACTTTTGTTGGCAAGGTGATGTTTCTGCTTTTTAAGATGCTATCGAGGTTTGTCATCCCTTTCCTCCCAAGAAGCAGGTGTCTTTTAATTTCGGGGCTGCTGTCACCATCTGCAGTAATCATGGAGCCCAAGAAAGTGAAATCTGTTATTGCCTCCATATCTTCCCCTATTTCTTCTATTCCTCAAAAACATTTTTGAGGGGCTCTTTCCTAGGCTAGAACCATTGCATTGGGGGATGGAGGGTGGGGGGAAGAAGGTTGTTAACTCTTTCCTCTCATGCTGTTTCCCCTCTTGAAATCTCTTTCCCACTCTCTCTGCTATTTGTCCCAGATAGTGCTATTTATTGGCAAAAGTATCTTGCTGGGCAAAGAGCAGCTGATAGGCAGTGGAGGGTGAGTGTGTAAGCTTTTAGCAGGAGATTGATGCTGACTTTCCTTCATTTCAGGGACCAGTTCCAGATCAGTGCCTTGTAAAGAAAACTGGCCAATTAAAGCAAGCTCCCTGCACCCCTAGTGAGAATGATATCATACATAGTTTGGCCCCAAGAAACAGGACTGTGGAAAATAAATGAATGACAGGCCACCCCAGCACTTTCTCACGGGCTGCTTCTTTTGACTTGTTTGCAAATGCATTTAGCTGACACTTTTGAAAAAGCGCATATTGTTGTTGGTCAATGTGATTTTTTTCCAATACTGGGAACAGATTTCATTAAGAAACAACATAACTTTTGTTTTGATGCTTCCTATCACGAGCAGGCTTTTACTTGGTGAAGACCCAACTGTCTGTCACAGCTTCTATACACATCCTTTTGTTAGCATATGGGCTGGCCAGATGGCTGTGAATTTTGATTCCTTTTCTTGCTTCCCACAACCATTTCCAAAGGAAATCCAGTCAAAAATGAAAGTAGAGTATACTAAGGTGCCTTTTTCAATATTATCCCCTTTTTATTTTTGAAATGACTGGGGAGCTCCCCTTTATTCCCCCCCTTCTCTCTGTTTCTCTCCTAGTGGTGATGAGCTTAGACACGAACATTGCAAAGTCTGTTCACACAGACAAAACTGTCCCACTTAAGGCTGATTGTTTTGCCAACTTTTTTTGCAATCACAAACTTCTCCCTTTTTGGTTTTCAAAACTTATTGATTTAATGAATGACTTCTTTTCTATTTTCATGCTGGTTTCTCCCAGCATAGGGACCCAGGGTGGCTCCCAAATGATTTGCATGGTGGGATGGATAGCTCAGTGGTTTAGGCAGAGACTGGGAGTTCGATTCTCTGCAGCGCCTCCTTGAGAGGAGCTGGACTTGACAATTCTGATACTGGATCCTACTCAAACTAGGTTTTAGGTATAGCCATCAAAAGAGAAGTACAGGCTTTAGAGAGATTAGACCCAGAACATTTGCACAAAGTTTAGCGAAATCAAGGAACGTTCACAGATAATATAGAATTTCATTGTAACTTTTATGCTTTGCCCATCCACCTTTAATCTGGCAGATGGCCCAACATTGGAATGCAGGCAGGAGGAAACCAATGATGATAGCTGGAACAATCACAGCATGGGAGCCGGAGAATGAAGGCCATATATCAGGGCCCAGGAAAGAAACACATAAACATACCAAAAGATAAGGGAAACAGATACTCTTTCCCCCCCAAAAAATTTAGGTGCATCCTGGGCATGGGTCAAGGGAAGATGGAGCACACAATATGCATATTATAGGTAACCAATAGATTAATATAACTGGCATCACTACCCAATAGGTGACTGGATCCAAACTTTGGGTACAAATGACCAATAGAATTTTAGTACTTTATGGTTCTTTGTATCATTATAAAACATATGTACACTGTATTTTCGGAGTCTTCTCTGCTTTTAAGAGAAGTCCCAGCTGACCTTTTTCTCTTTGCTATTCAATAAAATTGGGCCTTTGGTTCAGCTGGCTGTGTCTGTGCCCGATTCCTTGTTGGAAAATTTAGAACCCAGGTTTGGCCGGTAACAATCCATATGGTCCCTTCCAGCTTTGCAGATCTGTTTGTTTGTTGTTGTTTTGTTGTTAAAAACACCAGGCACAGTTCATCAAAATTATAAAAAAACATTGACTGGTGTTTTATAACATACAGGTTTTAGCCAAAAACCTAAGATGTTTCGATTGCCATTATTTTGGCAACTATTTTGTTAGTTCCTCCAGTTCTTTATTTTAAACTCTGGCATCCCTTGGAATTGCAATGTCAATGATCTGGGCATTTCTTTATTCTATTACTATTATGTCTGGTAGTAATACTGTACTTAAGTTGTTGTTGGTGTTGGCAAAACAGCCTTTTTGAAGAATGCAAGCAGTAATTCATAAACAAATTTATTCCTAGTTTATAATTTGCTTTTGTTACAATTTATAGCCAGTGTTGTGTCATGGTTGAAGTGCTGACCTGGGGAGACTGGCTGCAGATCTGGACTCAGCCATGAAACTGACTGGATGATCACAGTCTGGTTAACACTATCTCAGCCTGTCTCGTGGTAATGTTGTGAGGACATGCTGGGGAGGAAGAGAGCTATGACAGCCTTGAATTCACAGGAGGAAAGGTGGGTTATAAATATAAATAAACAATAAATCAGCATTATTTTTATTTCCAGCAATTGTCCAGAAGATTTTTTTTTTTTGGCTCACTGAGAAAATCATTTCATTTTGGTGGATCCCAAGCATGATCTCTAGACATCTTTTAGTGGTTCTTTTGAAACATGAGTTATGACAGCAGTACATTTTGATTTAATCTTACCTGCATAAAATATTCCTCTAGTAAACAATCTACCCATGGCTCTGCCACTTCCAGTGGGCGAACTTCATTGGAGATATCACAGCATTTGATCAGTACCATCTTCAACTGAATGGAGAGAAGCATTAGACAACATGGTAAGAGATGTCTTATACTCGTTGGAAATAACAAATAGCGGTTAGGGGTTGAAACAGGAGTTTAAACCCACCCCCCCCATAGGGAATCTTAGGAGACATCCTGGAGTATACATAGTTGATGAGGCTGTGTGCATTGCCCTCCCAACCCCGGAATAAAATGCGAGACACTGATATGGGTTAAAAATATGGGCCACACTTTATTAATATATATCAATATTCCAAACTTTTCATTCACAAGGAGGGGCCTGCCGTAGTGCGGAAACAGTCCAATGGTGTGAGTATCTAAATACTCCTAGGCCAATGAAAGGGTGAGTCCCTGGCCCCAGGCTCCAGCGACCTTAAGGATAGCAGGAACCTGGCTGGCCGCTAACAAACACCCCCAGACCTTGATCCCCCTTTATTTGAGGGTTGTCAGTCTGGAAGTGGCCCAGCGCATCTTCCCTCCACAGGCACTGTAATCGCATGATCCGCAGTGCCAGGCGGTAGGATGTACTGTTGACTTACTTGAAATTACTGCAGGACCCACCGTAAATGCCTATTTTTTCCGCACTACCTGCCAGTGTGACCGGAGCTAATTCCACCGACTTGCCACAAACCTCTTCTAGTGTGGGATAGGCAAAACCTCCCCCATCCACAAGCCAATCAGGATGAGGGCCAAAATTCCTATCCGGCCCCGTAACGGCAACCAGAATAACTCACACTAGAATTGGGGAGGGCGGGTGGGTGCCCGAAAAGAAGAGGGCGTTTCCGGAGGGGAAGGCCCTTTAAATACCTGGGCTTTCCCCTCCCACCTGGGGATCACGGGAGGCCCGTCTCGCGATATCCCGGGTGGAAGGCAAAGCCAGCTTCGCTGCTCAAGGTCCAGGGGACTCAAATCAGCTCACTGGAGGGAGAGGGGCAATCCTTCATCAAGCCATACAATCCCAGACTGCCATCAGAAGGTGGGACTTGTAAACGATGCTGAGCATTTGGTCATTAGAAAATCCTATAAGAGTTGCTGGGAATTGGAACTGACTCGATGGCAGATTAAGAAGAAGGGGGGAGGGAGAGGAGTATCAGATCTATAATGCTTATCTGTATCTTGTACTAGGCATTGTCTCCTCTGTTTTACTGTAGGATGTTAGCAACAAATGTAGTAATGATTCACTTCATGATCAGTTAAAATGAAATAAAGTGAGATCTCTGCAATTGATCTCAGTGGAATGAAGCTTGCACTCAGTTGTACTTAATACCTTTCAAAAAGAGGCAGGCCTCACACTTGAATGTATTCCACAATTTCCAGTGACTGCTAAAGAGAATGAAAGGGTTTAAGAAGACCACCCCTATCCTGCAGCTTCTTCGCATGAGGTTTGAATTGGGGAAACAAAGACATTTTCTTACCCGGGTCACATGTTCCTCATTTGCATAGTCAAAGCTGTCCAATATTTCTTTGAAAGAGTCCAAGATTTCAGCATGCCTTGCCATGTCTGTTGCCAGGATTAATGTAATTATCCCCTATGCAAAATAAACATTGTAAGACACCAATTCTTTTTAAAAATAAAAACACTGCTACTTCACTAGCGCCATCCATTCCTCTTACAACATGTTCACAATCCCCCACAACTAGCTAGGATTGATAGAAGGGACCATGCAAAACCTCTGGAGATATACCTTCTCCTTCCTAAAATCAAGAAATCTATATTCAGTTACAGTTCTATGTTGGCACATAGTGTGCACAGAAGTGAACTTTGTGACTGCCATCTAATACATACCTGCCTTATCCGTTTGAATTGTTCTTTATCAACATTGGAGAAAATGTTGCACTCTGGTTGGGCAAGGATCTGGAAAGCCACTGCACAATGATGGTTCTCTAGCGGGGAAATGTCATTGTAGCGCACAGCAAGCTCTGTACGTGCATTGATCTGATACCTAATGTGAAGGAAAGACATAAAAAGAAATGCAGCAGTGGTTCTAAAGGGTTGTGCTGATCTCTGTTGTGATGGCAATCCAATTTTCTAGGGGGCAGAGGTTGTCTGTTATACTTCACAAATAACTAAGCTGCCTGCCAACATATTACTTGGGGAATAACAAGAATATAATAATGATATTTTGCAATACATAGTGGCTGAAATCCTGTCGCTTAGCTTAGGAAGTCACAACTAGACTTCCATTTGAATCAATGGAACTTATAGAGTTGACTCACCAAATCCACATTATTTCAATCCAGTATGACTTACTATGCTAAGAAACAACATTTCAACCTACTGGTAACATCATTTTTTATTTTCATGTAATGAGTAACATTTACTTACTATTCTATGGGAACTATTTTTTTAAAAAAAGAAATCAGTTGTAGGGCATTGTTTAAAACTTTCAGCCACTTCTTTACTTTTCATAACTATTTCCCCCATAAAAAAATTAGGAGTGTCAAGTAACACAATGAATTATAAAAATTTCCCCTCTTAACCTTTACCAACTACTGTTGTCATTCCCACTGTCAAAAGTTATGGGGCGGGAGGTGTAATATATTTCAAAAAATAGTTTAAAATGTAACTTTTTAAGCTCTGAGCAGTAAATGTCTTGATATGAAATTCCCCTCCCAACTCCATGTTAAATTTCCTTTAAAAAAGAAGAGAGACAAAAATCACAGATCTATTTACTTGTTTATTGTTTACAGGTCGCATGGTATATATCTCTTAGAGGTTTTCTCATTCTTCATGTTAATTTCTTCCCATAAAATATAAATAATATATTATTTACAGTATGTTGCTCTAGAGATAATACAGAAAAAAGAGAGAAACTCAAGTCTGCTGGCCAGCTATAGCAGACATTCTGCTCAAAAGCTGTCTGACCCATATTTTCTTTTAAAATGAAACATATTTTTTAAAGTGAGTGAGTGAAGAGAGAGAAATGAAAAAAAGACTGCTATTTTCTAAAGTAAATTATGCAAAATTCCAAGGAATAGCAGGGATGTCCTAAGCAACCAATGTTTTTCACCAGCTAAGGCTGTCAAAAGGATGTATAGCAAACAGAGGTTGGGCACTCTCCACTTCCTAATTCTTACCATCTGGTATACTTCCTTTGTGGCCTCAGATGGCTGGATTCTTATGCAAATGGCACCTTGCCCCATCTTCCCCATTTCAGCCCTGATGCTAAGCCAACAGACAGGAGAACTAAAAAGTTTACCTCACATTTTCAGACACTTTCAGTCATTTCCTCTGGGTTATGTTAACATTTCTGTACTCTCTTTTTTTCAGAGCTTCAGTACCTCTTTGCATTTCAGTACTCCTCTACACCAGTTTAAATACCAATTTGTTTCCATGTACAACATTTCCCCATATATCCTTGCCTGCACTTTTGGTCTGCTACTGCAAACTAACTCTTCCCCTTGTATAAGGAGCTTGCTTCTATCTGTCAAGAGTCCTTATTCTGTGTATTCACGAAGGCTTTCACGGCCGGGATCTAATGGTTGTTGTGGGTTTTTCAGGCTCTTTGGCCATGTTCTGAAGGTTGTTCTTCCTAACGTTTCGCCAGTCTCTGTGGCCGGCACTTTCAGAGGACAGCACTCTGGTGTAGTTGGCTTGGGAGTGCCAAAATAGCACTCCCAAGCCAACT